ACCTTGCAGTGCCCTGAAAGGCCCCCTCCGTCTGTTGCTTTAATGTCGATGTGATAGTTGGCTTCTTTTTCATAGTCAATTGGTCCCAAAACGGTGATTTCCCCAGTAGTTTGATGCAACTGGAACAAGTTGCTTATCTTCTCAGGTACCCTATGGAATGAGTATGTGATCTCTGCATTTGAACCAAAATCCAAATCTCTGGCTTCTACTTTAGACACTAGAGTACCACGAGGACTGTTTTCCTTCAACTTCACTTTATATTCAGATTGAGTAAACTGAGGGAAGTTGTCATTGTTGTCCAGAACATTAATATTTATTTGAACTGTTCCCGTTCTCTGGGGCACCCCTCCATCAACAGCTGTGAGAGTCAGCCCGACACGTGCCTCCTTCTCTCTGTCTAGTGGTTTCTCCAGAACAAGGTTTAAGTATCTTTTGCCACTGCTTTCACTTTGTAATTCCAGCCAAAAATTCCCATTGGGACTGAGGGTGTAGTTTTGGACACTGTTTTCACCCAAGTCTGCATCTTGGGCAGATTCCAAGGGGAACCGAGTACTTGCAGGGACCTGCTCAGGAATTGCTAGTTCAAATTCATTTTTGGAGAATTCAGGAGAATTGTCATTCACATCTTCTATCTGAACCTCAATGCTATATATCTTCAAGGGGTTTTGGAGCACAATTTCAGACAACAGTAAGCAAGGCTCCATCTCGCCACACAAAGCTTCTCTGTCTATCTTTTCATTTACAAACACATTCCCAGAACGGGTATCCAGCTGGAAATACTGATTATTGCTTTTGGAGACCAGCTGGGCTCTGCGAGCAGAGAGCTCTCCCGGTCCCAGTTTCAAATCCTTCAGCACATTAGCCACCAGAGACCCACTTTTCTTCTCTTCAGGCAAAGAATAGCGAATTGAGACACACACCACTCCATACAGAGAGAGTAAGAACAAAAAAGACAGACCTTTCATGATCCTGAAGGTATCATCCATGGTGCCAGACTCTCCCAGGTTAGATCCTTATGGTTGTGAAATCATATATCAGATGGGTAGTATCCAGAGACAATTTATCCTGTTGGAAAAACTGGTTTTTTCCCTGCTGTGTTCCCTGCTTTTATTCTTTAAATCTGTCCGTCCTTCCAGCCATCACATTCCTTCTGGCTTCAGATTCCCTCTGTTCATGGCTTTGTGCTAGTGCTGCTGCAAAACAAGTCTCTTTCTGAAATGCCATTTGCAACTGATCTGCTTGCCCATGCTGCCACCTTGTGGTACAACCTGAAGAAAACCATAAATGTTC